CAAGTTCCTATTACAGGCCAACCTCGGAGAGATCACAGGTTTGGTTCCAGGCTACTGCCAGAAAGCAAGTCATGTGAACTTTTTGGTTTTATTTGTGTCAATAAAAGTTATGCTTAGATGATGCTGTAGTCTGTTAAGCATGCTATCTCATGAGAAAGTTTCAATACTGAGAATATGACCAACATGTGACATAGACACAAGATGGGCACATGCTGTTGGGGGAAGTGGTACCTTAGACTTGCTGGACGCAGGGTGGCCAAAGCCTTCGCTTTGTGAAGATACCCTATCTCTGAAGTAAATGATTCAAAGCCCAACACACCCAGGTGTGCCTTCCTGGCCTTTTGAGCCCAGTCTTGCCCTGTCAGTCTCATCCATTCATGCTGATCCCGTGCTGCAGGATCTGTGTTTAACCCCCAGAGCACTAGCTCTTTGCATACAAATCCCTGGAAATCTAGTCATCAACAGGAAGTAGGTTTATCCCTGGCAACAAAACATGATTTTATTGGCGAGCCCTGGTCCCAGATCTCCAGGAGTCCCACGACCCTGCTGTCCATCCCATTGCCCCAACTCCCCGAGATAAGAAGGACACTGCGTTGGATTGTCCACCTCAGTGGGCCCCTGTGGCTGTCACCCACCACCTGTGCTCAACCAACCAGGTTGGCCTGGATCTGCTGCCCGGATCTGACCGTGCTCTGCCAGGGTTCTGGGCTGAGGTTGGGGCGGGTGGGTGAGTGTGTCTGGATGCTCGCTTGCATTCAGTTGTCACACGCAGTTTCCCTGACTGGCTTCTTCCATAGCGTTACACCTAGCCCATCTGTTCTCATTTTTTCTTAAGTGACCTTGAGGATTTGGGTGAAACATTCCAGGCTGCAGGCCAAACTGGGAATGTGTCCAGCCTTCCAAGAGGACCCTCCCTGTGCTCCCTCTGTCCTCTCTTCTGCTCTTCCACTGTCCCCTTTTGGCCTTCATCTTGTGTTCCCAACCTCCCCTTCCCTGAATCCATGCAATGGATGCTGTCTTCCATACCCGGGCCTGCTCTTGCCAGCAGTCACCTAGCCAACGTTAACCTTTTTCCCATTTGAACAGCCAAGCCCTCCGCAGAGACATTGCTTGCCTTCAGCCTGTAGGCAAAAAGGCAAGCTGGCCCAGCTCTACGTTGGAACCAGAGATCTGCTTGAGTCATCAATGGTTGGCTTCCTACTTCTGTGCCTTTGGCTATTTACTATTTCTGAGACTCACTTAAAATTTTTTTAAATGCACAAACAAAAACAATTTGTTGGCCTAATGAACACAGTGTTCACAAGTAATTATGCAACATTACTTTTTGTGTGTGTGCATGCGTGTGCGCAATTATTTATTTATAAACCATTTTATTGGCATTTGTATTAGTCTAGGTACTTTGGAGAAACAAATCCACAGCAATTCATGCATAAGAGAGTTTTATGTAAAGAAAATTTGCATCATGAAAACATCCCAACCCAATGCTGCCCAAGCCCACAAGTCCAACATTAACCCATTTACCCAACACTAGTCCACAAAGTCCTCCACCTCACAAAACAGAGGCAATGATGCCGACTGCAGGAGGAAAGCTGAGTTATGAACGAATAAGCATCTCAGCACTAGCAGGGGTCTCCACACGGCTGCTCCAGCACCCAGGGCTGCATCGGGATAGGTCCATGTGGCTTCTCCTTGGGGATGTCTTGTAGGAAGTCAATCTTGCAAGCTGAAGCAGGGAACTGCTAAGGCAGCTGCACCCTCAGCATTTAATCTACATGTCATACAATTCAATAGTTGAATCACATCAAGAAGAATTGTGCAGTCATTACCACAATCAATTCCTGAACATTTTCTTATTCTTTTTACTCATTGTTATCAGTGTAATTATTTTGTTTTCAGTACGGCAAAAATAGACACAAAACATTCTCCAATTCAACAACTTCTACATGTATAGTTCAGTGCCACTGATTAGACTTTTTGTGTTGCTACACCAATATTGACATCCTTTTCCAAGTTATTCCACTACCATAAACAACAACCCTTCCTCCTTCACCCACGGTGATCACTGGTCCACTAGGGTTTCTGTGTGTTTGCTGAACTCTTAGCAAGTGAGAACAACATGTCTTTCTTCTTTTTCTTCTTAAACAAAATACCTTGGAAACAAAGACTGACTGTGGGAAAGCATAAAGACATGTTTTGTGTCCAGAGCTGCAATGGCTAGAACATAGGATTTCATTCTGGCCCTGTTCCTGGTAAAGTGGCTATTGGCAAGTTACTCAGATTCTCTGATTCTCCATGCCCTCATCTCTAGTAAAAATAATGCCTCTCTCTGGCCCACCATCGTTGGAGGATTATATGAGACCCCATGTGTAGCTGTGCTTTGTCCACTGTGGAAATCTCTGCTAATGTCTGAGACCTGGCTATTGCTATGATATTTGTGATCTTGCAGCTTCTGCTAAGCGAGAAGCCCTCAGGGTCTGCTTATCTTACCTGTCCTCTTACCTTTTTGTTTGCCTGCTTTAGGGCTCTGCATTTGTCTGTAAAAAGAGTGGACGCGTGGCCTCCACTGCCCTTAACAGCATGATTTAGAGGAGCTCCCAAGTAGAAACAACTCAGGTGCTCATCAGCTGAGGAGTGGACAAATGAAATGTGATCTACTGTCTTACTGCGGGGAGGGGGAGGCAGAAAGCAATGAATCGCAGACACATGCTACAGGATGGATGATCCTTGAAAAGGTTACACAAGTGAGGGCAAGACAGACACTGTATGATTCCATCTATATTGAATGTCCAGGCAAACTCATAGACATGGAAGGTTGGTTAATGGTTTTCTAGAGCCCAGAGGCTTAGAGGGAACTGAAGAATGGCTGCTACTAAGTGATGAGTTCCTTTGGGATGATAAAAATGCGCACGTGTGAATATACTAAAAATCATTAAGCTATACCATTTAAATGGGTGGATTTCATAGTGAGTTCTATCATAATAAAGATTAATTAGGTAGGTAGGCAATCAGATAAATAGATGATAGATAGATATAAATTGAGAAAACACACTCCCACAAAGAGTAGAGCTACAACTCTTGCTTGTTCTTACTTTTCCCAGCATGCACCCTTGAGAGAGCTCCCTTGGAGAATATTTGACTATATTTGCCATTCTGATTAGGTCCGCTCCCTAATGGCTGTTGCTGGCTTTTATCTGGTTCCTTTGTGACAAGCTCCCTTCTCTGGCTCCTGTCAGTTGGTCGCACTTACCTCAGTGAACTCTTTAAGGACCCTGCCTCCCTTGCTATAAAATCGTTTCATGAGGGCTCAGCTTGGTTTCCCCAATGATTACATCTTTAACTGAAAACAAAACAAAAAATCCCTTGCTGTTGAGTTAGTTCCACCCCCTGGACTGTCCAAGGCTGGAATCTTTATGGAATCAGACTGCCAAATCTTCTTCCAGGGAGACAGCTGGTGGATTGGAACTGCTGACCTTTAGCTTAGCGGCTGAGCTTTCAACCCCTGCGCTACCAGGGCGCCTAGTTCCTAATGCGGTAGGTGCAGAATAAACCTTTGTTGAATGAATGGTTATTCACATAACAAATGGGTCCTCTTCTGATCCTTTAAATATTGGGTTCTAAATTTCAATATACATTTCAAGGTTTGTTTATAGTTCCCTAAGGAGTTCCAGTGGCCGAGTAAGCATTGGATTATTATCCACACGATTAGTGGTTCAAGCCCATCAGCCCCTCCACAAGAGAAAGATAAGGCTGCCTACTTCCATCAAGACATACAGCCTTGGAAACCCTATATAGGGTCACTATGAGTCAAAATAGACTCAATGGCAGTGAATTTGATTTGGGTTTGGTTTACATTTCCCTAGGACCAACCACTCCATGAGAGAAAAGGTTTGGTGATCTGTTCCTATAAAGATCACAGCTTAGGAAACCTGATGGCACCATTCTACTTTGTCCTAACTATGAGTTGGAATCAATTCAATGACACCCAACAGAAACCAAGAGCCTATAAAATAGCTGCAACAATATAACATACAATAACCAAGAAGGGGAGACAGGAGCAGGCAACATTTTGTGCTGTTTAGCATATGGTTGCTCTGAGCTAGAGCCAAATGGATGGACACAAACAGCGAATAGGGTCTACAAGAGCCTGGTCGGACCTTTGGGCTTTCTTGTGCATTTAATGTGTTCAGCAACTTGTCGAGAAAAGGGATAAGAGACATGTTCAAAATCACAGAGCTAGGGAGAGTGCAGACCTGCCCATCGTCCAAAGCCTTCCTCTCCATGGGGCCCAGCAGAGCTGGTGGCTTTGAGAAGAGAGGGGGGCTGGGAAGGACGAAGGACTAGAAAGGCTGAAAGTCACTACCAATGGAGGGTCAGTAAGGGATGAAGGCAAAACATCTCCAGTGGGGGTGGGGGAGCAAGTCACTTGGGTGCACGGGACCCTTTCAGGGCCACAGTCACGGGGTTGTGTACCCAGCCAGCACGGCTCACCCCCACTCAAGCCTTCCTCGCCCAGAGGGCTGTAAGAACTGTCTGGGCAGTTGAGAATCGGCCGCTCAGAATGCTCAGCTGTGGCCACTGCACTGGACATCAGAAGGGAGAATGGGGCTATGGAGCTCAGTGCTTCACGCCTTGAAGCCAAGAAGACACCACGGGCTGCATCAATAAACTGTAACTAGCGACAGGAGCTTGTCCTTGCGATCAGAAGGAAGCGTGTGATTGGCTGGCTGAGCTCGGCCTAGCAGGCCTTATCTCCGGCTGGTTATTATTTAATGAAAGAGGCTTCTCCTCCACCTTCTTCCTCTGATGTTTCAAAACTTGTGCTGCTTGTGGTATCTGCCTTGTGGGAGTGTGCCGCTGTCTGGGGATTTTTTTCTGGGGTTACTGCCGGGCAACCCAAAGTCCCCCAGCCTTTGGCCGCACAAACAGCTGTCCAGTCAAGCCAAACCTTGCTTTTGACGCAGACTGGGGCTGGCTTCTCCAGGGCTCCCCCAGCGTGGCTAATCAACTGATTGCAAACAAGCCCTCAAACATCGCCAAGCCAAGGCTCCAGGTATGTTCCAATGTTAGGGGCAGGGGTTGTCCAATTTCTTCACATGTCATGGCATTAGGGTAGTGGGGAGGTCTGGGAGGCAAAGTGGCAAGAGCAGGGCAGGCAGAGACAGTGGGAGGAGGGAAGCCGAGAAAAAGAACTCGCTCTTGGCAGCTAGAGAGAGGAGTCAACATGCTTGTTAAGTGACCTCCAGTCGCTGAGCTTCAGCATGCTGTGACACAGGGGTTCCCCACCTTCCTCGTGCTGCGATGTTTTCATACAGTTCCTCATGGGGTGGTGACCCCCCCAACCATAAAATGATGTTCCTTGCTACTTCATCACTGTCATTTTGCTACTGTGATGAATCGGGCGACCCTTGTGAAAGGGTCGTTGCCCCCCTCCCCCAAAGGGGTCGCGACCCACACGTTGAGAACCGCTGCTGTAATCCCCTTCCAGAGGTCTGGTTGGACCTCTTTTTAAAGCCTTTCCTCTGGCCAGAAACTTAAGAGTCCAGAGAGGGTTTGGGATGCTCTAGGAAAAGATCAAAGGTTGTCCCCGGAATGCCATGGAATGGATTTGCACAGAGGATGTGGTCTTTAAATGATCTGTTCGCCTTACCAATCCCCGGCCCCTGGTTGTGATGCTGGCTACAGAGATAAGGGTGGGGCTGGCCACCGATTGATGAGACCTGGTTGCCCACTTTGAGAGCTATTTGGTGTGTGATGCCTGTTCTCATCTTCATCCTAGTCCTAGTCCCAGCCCAGTGGGTTTTTCTGAGCCTCACCCGGGCATCACTTTACGTCGAAGGATGTGCTTGTTCTCGACGAGAGAGTTGGGCTCCTTGTGGTGCCTTGTGAACTACCTGGAATGCAGAATGGCAGGCCGAGAGGAGAGGACGGACAGTCTTCCCAAAATGTCGGGGCTGCTGAAGGTGGACAAAGAGAGGGTGAATGGAGCAAACACAGAGAAAGCAACAAGTGTACTAGCACAAAACGGATACGATTTTGTTGTTGTTGTTTCAAATGGTAGACGTACAACGTCCCCTAGGCATGACAGGTTAGGAGCTAAGCATGCTGACTCCCTTTCCTTTCTCTACTCCTGATGTATCTCGTAATTCCTAAGGGTGTGCATGCTTGCAGCCTTAATTCCCAAACATCAGTGTTTGGGTTGTTGGTGAGTTTTTAAGCTGTGGTAGGAGGTCACCCTGGCTCTGACCTCCAAAGACTCTCCACAGACTGGAGAACTCTTCTTCCTGTGGACTAAAAGTTGTCCCGGGAGCTTTCTCGGCTGGGTCCCCATCGCCTTCCTAAAGCTATTCAGAGTAATCGGGCTGAGAAGGTCTCCCAGGGGAAGCCCGCTCTGCCCTCATCATTTTAAGGTAAATGCCAAGGCATGGCGGATAAGCCCAATGCAGGAGTTAGATCTCCTGGACTTGGGCTTTTTTGCCCTGTTGGGAACATTTTTTTTTTCTCTTTGCCACTCCAAATGCTTATCTCTCTGGTCTCCTTCCCCTACCCTCCTGCTTCTCTGTCCTCACATCCACCAGGGTTCAACGGTTAGATCTGTCGTGGGAGAGATATACCTCAGTCCTTGGCTTCACACGAGAAAGAATTCACTCTGAAGCCTGGATTGTGATCCAGGTTCACACAGGCATCCTCAGGGGCCCTCACCCTTGCACAGCCTGCCTAGAAGTTGCTCCAGAGAGAAAGTCACGCGGTGGGTTCCAGGATCCACGATCCTGCTCGACCCCATTGGCTGAATTGAATTCGCCTGGCCCAGATGGGCCAATCCAGGTATAATGCCCACCTAGGTGTACCACACCTTCCTGGCCAGCTCAAACCTTTGAGCACGCGCAATGGATGCTCCAGTCCTTATGCTAGCTGCATAACAGACCCTGCCAGATAGGGGACTTACAGGAGGTATTAGAGGACAAGGCAGCGATCAGAGCCTAGACTTTCACTACCATGCCACATGAACTACGTGCCTACATTCACGTTGACTACGTGAATGCATGTGCATGCTACCAGACTGATGGTCATGACACTGGCAGTTCTGCACTTTCTCTGTTGGCCTAATCACTCAGCCAAGTCTTCTGAGCACCAGCCAGGGGCTGGGTTTGCAGAAGACCAAGGTCAGCAGCACTGTCTATCCTCCGCCCCCACCCTCATCCCCAGCAGAGATACTTTCAGTGTAGAGCACCCTCCTTTGTGCCAGAATCCTTTTCCCCGTCCATCTCTCTCCACCTTTCTATACAGGTCTAACCCGGTATGGATCTCCTCTGCATGCTCGTTGGAGAGCACGTCTTCTCTTTATCATTTTTTAACCCGCTCAGAGGGGGGATTGGCCTAGCCCTGGAAGACACATGTAAGGAAACCCACCATGTCCCAGCTCACTCCCTTACTGCCCTTGGGTCAATTCCGACTCCCCTGGCCTATCTCATTCTCTTTGGGAAGATACAGTCCGTATGGAAGTTTAAAGCATGATCAAAAAGCTCATACACATAAATAAATAGATGCTCCCAGTCTGAGATGAGGAGGAGAAGAAGGGAGTTGCTTTAGATGAGAGTGAAGAACTAGCCCAGAAAGGCCTCCAGGTTGAGCCCCTGAATGTGAGCACCCCTGCCTTGATCAAAAAAGCTTACTAAGAGCATCTCTCTGGGATTTTGGAGAGTCCATGGCTATAAACCAAGGTTGGATGAGATCATTCCTAAGACTCAGTCACCGTCTCTGGCATTTTATGATTCTGTTGATCACCATCAGAGGCACCATGAGCTTAGGGCTACATGAAACCTGGGCCATCTGACTTCTTCCCCAGCTGCCTCTGCTGATGGAGAGAGTCTGGACCCAAGCACAAGGAAGGTGTGGAGGTGGCCCATTTTGTTCCCTGGATCCCCTTCCTCTCAGCAACCGCTTCCATCCTCTCCCAGCTGGAACACAGTCTTCACTCCTCAGAGTGTTCTTGCATCAGAAGAAAACCTTACGACCCCGGGGACTGGGGATAACAAACAAACAAGCAGAACAACAAACATAAGTTTTTTCTACTCATAGCACTTAATGCAGTGACTCTCAACCTTCCTAATTGTAAGGCCAGCCATGGGTCAGGTCACGGATGGTCGGAGGGTGAACAACCCCACCCTACATGGAAATGGAAACTTACCAGAGACAGTTCCCAGAGACAGACCAGGAACCATCTGTGGCTCAACAATGAACAGAACCCGGATGCTGTTGACTGTCTCTGGACCTGCATCTGACAATTGCCCAACCCCATCCCAATGAGAAATTCCATCCTGTGCAGTCCGCCCAAAAACCCCCACTCTAAGTTTGCATATAAGCTTCTCTCCTCCTACCCTGGGCGCGACTTCACTGACCCCGCTCTTGGACCTGTGAATCTCTCCCAGGAGTGCAGAATAAACTCCTCCTCGTCCTTCTTTCTTGCCTGGCCTCAGTTTATCTTTGCGGTGAGCCTAATATTTGGTGCCGAGACGCGGGGGGAGTGAGCTCCCTCTTAGCTGCCCAATGCAATTCTGGGAAGCGCTCCTCTCCTGCTCACCCCAGGGATCCTCGGCTAGACTCCATTCCGGCAGCACAGACAGTAAGTCCCAACCCATGTCTATTTCTTGTGACCACCCCCCCTGCTGGGCTCTCTGTTCGTAACTGCATGGCCACATCAGAGATCGCCCTCCATTTTCCTGTCCAACCCAGGGTGGTAGTGGAGACGTACATCCCTGTCAACCCTCCAGTCCTTATCCGTCCATAGCCAAGGGTAAACGATTGGGACACTGGTCCTTTAGCCTTGACTATTGGTCTCCAGAGATTAGCCATGGGTAATCAAAATTCTAAAATTGAACCCCCCACCCCCGACACCGCTAGGGTGCCTCCTGTCTAACCTCACTAAACTGGGGGTGGCGCTGGACATTCATCCAAAGTGCCTCATCTCTTTTTCCACAGTTGAGTGGCCCCAGTATAATTTGGAAAACGGGTCTAAGTGGCCCAAACAAGGGACTTTTGATTTCAATATTTTAACCGATCTAAGTAACTTCTGCCAAAGGACTGAGAAATAGTCTGAGGTTCCATACATTCAGGCTTTCTTTGTTCTGCGCTCCCGCCCTTCATTCTGTACTTCCTGTTCTCCTTCCCAGGGACCCCTAGCCTGGGAAAATTCTTCTTCTCCTCCCGAGCCACCCCCTTCTTCTCTCCCCACCTTTTCGGACCAACCTGACCAGTCTGAGCACCTTGATTCACCTCCTACTGGCCCTCCTCCTTACCCTGGCCTCCCACGCCCTCCTTCCCCCACCCCGACCACTTTTCCGCTTGCTGGCTCGGGTGACCCTAAACCCCCACTCACCTCGCCTCTCAGTAAAGACACCCGATCACAGAATCCCCCTCTTTGTCTTCTCTGAGACAAAGAAGGGGGTGTTCATGTCCCATTTTCTCTTACTGACTTTTCTCAGATTGAAACCACTTTCTTTCTCTAATGATCCCACCACCTATATTAAGGAGATTTGATATTTAAAACTTATGATTTGTCCCGGCATGATATGTTTTGTAATCCTTTCCTCTACCCTAACCGTGGATGAAAGGGAACGTGTTTTTCTTGCTGCTCAGCAGCATGCCAACCAGGTCCTTTGAACCGACCCCCCACACGCCCGTCAGCACTGAGGCTGTCCCCAGGCGGGAGGCTGGTTGGGGTTATCAAATTGACACTCATGCAGGCAGGGACGGATGTGCCCTCCGTGACAAAATGCTTCAGTGTGTTTTAGCTGGGCTTCAGGCAATTTCTCATAAGGCAGTCAATTTTAACACACTCAGAGAAATCACTCCAAAACATGACAAGAATCCAGCCACCTTTTTAAGCTGTTTAACTGATGCCCTCACCCAATATACCTGCTTGGACCCAGCTTCCCCGGCTGGGGCTATGGTGCTCACAACCCATTTTATTACCCAGCCAGCCCCAGACATTAGAAAAAAAGCTTACGAAGGCCGAGGATGGCCCTCAAACCCTGGTCTGAGATTTGGTAAACATGGCATTTCAGGTTTTTAATAGCTGTGAGGAGTCAGCCTGAGGGAGATGCCTCCGACAGAAGGTAAATTTTCAAACCCAAGCCTTAATGGCAGCCCTGCAGCCAATGGCACCCCAGAGTGGGCCTAGAAAAGACGTGCAGGGTGGGGGTGTAAGGGAGGAGCGGCTACCACCTGGCGCCTGTTTTAAGTGTAGAGAAAAAGGACACTGATCATGGAAGTGCCCCAAGTCCCGGGCCCCAACCCAACCCTGCCTGGCAAGTGGTCAGGATGGTCACTGGGAGTCTGACTGTCCATGGAAAAGCAACGGGCCCTATACGCCTCAACGTGGGGGGACCGTCCTTCCAAAGTCTGACTCACTGCTGGCCATGTAGATTTTTTTAGACAGAGCCCAGACTCAATGACCCCCATCACCCTCACCAAGCCCAGCGTAATGCTCAAAGCAGCGGGTAATTCAGTTTCCTTCTAAATAGGCACAAGGGATACCTACTCTCTCCTGCCCTCCTTTTTGGTGCATAACAATCCTTCCTCAATCTCCGTCAAGGGTATTGATGGCAAGCCTACCCGCCCACAGTGCATGGGGCCTTTATTTTGCTCTCTTGATGATACCCCTTTTTACCCACTCTTTCTTTATAATTCCCTCATGCCCAGTCCCCTTATTAGGGAGAGATCTTTTAAACAAACTAGGTGCTTCCTTATACCGTACCCCCAGTCCCACCATGCGCCTACTTTTGCCTCTGCTATCGGCCCAGAGTGAACAGCCCTTGTCATGGGTCCCCATAGTGCCTACGGTTAATCCAGTAGTATGGGACACCTCTACTCCCAGTATTGCTTTTCATCCCCTCCCCATTTTTATATGCTGGGGAGACCCAACTGTTTTTCCTTCCCGGTCTCAGTTCCCCATTTCCCTAACCCACACAAGGGCTTTAAACCCATTATAGAGCGCCTCCGTGCTAACAACCTCCTCACTGCTGTCCACTCTCCCTGCAACACTCCAATTTTACCAGTAAAGAAATGGAATGGTGCTTATATCGCTTGGTCCAGGATCTGCGCCTCATTAATGAAGATGCTATCTCCATACACCTGGTAGTTCCCAGTCCCTATACTCTTTTGTCCCACATTCCCCCCTCCACTATCCATTTTTCTGTCCTCGATTTAATGGATGCCCTTTTCACCATCCCTCTTGACCCAGCTTGTCAACATTTGTTTGCCTTTATGTGGGGGGACCCAGACACCCGTAAAGCTTCACAATATGCGTGGACTGTCTTGCTCCAGAGGTTCTGGGACTCTCCCCATGTTTTCGGCAAGCGTTGACTCTGGTCCTCCAGGCATGTAGGTTCTTTAGAGACTTCTAGAACACATACAGCCCAGCTCCTTCATTTCGTGGCTTCCAAGGGATACTGAGGATCGGACTCTATGGCACAGTTATCATGCACTACTGTTACTTATTTAGGCCTATGCTTAACACCTGCCTCCCGGGGTTTAACGGTGGATCCAAAGCAGACTCTTAAAGTTCTTCAACCGCCTACCTCAGCTGATCAAATGTTCTCTTTTCTTGGTTTTCAGGGATTTTTTTTTTTTTTAGATAGCTGATCCCTAATTTTTCCCCTATGGCCCAGCCTCTAATGAAGCTGCCATATCCGCCCCCAAAGGAAACTTAGCTTCCCTGTGGGAGGTCGCCGCAGCTTTAAAAAAGCTCCAAAAGATACTTTTAGGGCCCCTGCCTTTGTACTTAGCTAACTCTGGCAAACTCTTCCATCTCTTCACTAGTGAGCAGCAGGGAATTGCAACTGGAGTCCTTGCCTAACCCTTAGGGCCTGCCCACACTCCGGTTGCCTAGCTTTCCACACAGTTGGCCACCACGACAGTCCTGAGTTGGCAGCCTTGTCTTCGTGCCAGGGTGGCCGCAGCCGTCCTCAAGAAAGAAGCCCTTAAAATCACCCTAGGACAACCCGTCCAACCGTTTCCCCTCACAGGCTTTAGAACCTGCTGCCACACTGCTTTCTTTCCCTACTTCCACCAGGTCTGATACAAGAAATCCATTTGTTTTTCCTTGAGAACCCTAATTTGGATTTGTTTCAGTCACCTTCCCTTAATTCAGCCACTCTTCTCCCCGTTATTTCTGTTGTATCCTATGACCACTCGTGCCCACAGGTCATCGAGGAACTTGCCATGCCTCGATTGGACCTCCTGGACCGGCTCTTACCAGACCCTGACTTTACCTTTTTGTAGATGGCAGCTTGTATGTGGACCCTCAGGGGCACTGACAGGCTGCATATGTGGTCGTGTCCCTTGACAAGACGTGGGAAGCCAGATGCCTCCCAAAAGGCACAACTCAGAAGGCTGAACTCATTGCCCTCACTAGGGCACTGCATTTGGCCAAAGGGAAATCAGTTAACGTATATATGGACTCCAAGTATGTATGCCTTTTTAATCTCATATTGCCACAAGGCAATCTGGCAGGAAAGGGGATTTTGTCTACCAAGGGATCCCCCATAGTCAACAGTAAATTAATTTCTTGCCTCCTAAATGCCCTCTGGTTACCTACCCAGGTAGCCGTCATTCACTGTAGGGTTCACCAAACTAGCAACTCCGCAGTCACACAGGGAAACAGCAAAGCAGATGCTGTGGCTAGGAACCTTTCCACAATCCCTGAACAGCCGGCTCCTATAATGTTTTTAACTTTATCCAGTCCTCCTACACGCCCAAGGAATGGGAAGCCTTCACCAACCGGGCGGTACGGTCACCCTAGAGGGCTGGATAATGGTTGACAACAAACTTGCTCCTCCCCAATTACAGGGTCTAGATGTCATGCGACAGATCCACCAGTCTCCCCACATCGGAGCCTAGCCCTAGCCCAGTTTTTGCAGCCACTCTTCTGTACCCCTTTTAAAGCTTAGCTGGTCCATGCTGCCACTGACTCTTGCTCAATTTGCAAAGCAGTTAGCACACGGGGGTGGGGCTCAAACCTTCTTTTCCAACTCACCAGATGTAGGGTCACCTACCAGGACAGGATTGGCCGATTGACTTGACACGCATGTCACCACATAAAGGAATCAAGTTTCTTCTCGCCATGGTTGACACCCAACCCAAAAGGAGACTGCTGACACAGTCACGGACATAAGCCCCCAAAACATAACCCCAAGGTTTGGTCCCCCCCATTCAATTCAGTCCAATAACGGACCAGGCTTTCTGTCCAAAATCACTCAGCAGGTGTCCTTTGTTCTTGATATTAAATGGAAACTCTGCACCCCCTGTCAATCACAGTCTCCCAGAAAGGTGGAGCATATGAATGGAATTCTCAACAGCCATCTTTCCAAGCTTTCTTTAGAGCAGCGGTTCTCAACCTGTGGGTCGTGACCCCTTTGGGGGGGTAGAACGACCCTTTCACAGGGGTCACCCGATTCATAACAGTAGCAAAATGGCAGTGATGAAGTAGCAATGCAAATAATTTTATGGTTGAGGAGGTCACCACAAGTCAAGGAACTGTCTGAAAGGGTCAAGGCATGAGGAAGGTTGAGAACCACTGCTTTAGAGCTTCCAAATCATGGGTAGACCTGCTACCCCTGGCCTTAGCACGCCTTCATGCTGCTCCTCAATCCCCATCTTTTCTAAGCCTGTTTGAGTCAATGTATTTTAGGCCTTTTCTTCTCAACCACAACCTGCCTGTTGTAGCTCTCCCATCCATCAGCGATGTGTTTACCCTATCTTTCTCTCTTAACACAGTGACTTCAGGAGCTGGTGGTGAGGTTCCTGCCTCGCCCTGAGGACACAAACCACACTTCTCAGGTGCCCACACTGCAATCTGGGAACTTGGTGCTCCTGAAAGCTCTCCACCCCAAACCTTTACAACCTCAGTGGACAGGCCCCCACATCGTGATCCTGACCACCCCCACGGGAGCAAAGCTTTTGGGAGATGCCTCATGGTACCCCCTGTCCCGGCTCAAGAAAAGCCCTGAGCAACATGACCTTTACACTCGTAAGATGCTGGGCTCCACCAAGGTCCGCCTTAGTCGGCCCCCTCCTACTTCTCCTCCTCCCTCCCTTGAGCCACACCAGGCTCGAACTTGAGCTGGTCACCCCTTTCCTGTGGCAGTTCATTATTCGGGAAACATATTGGAAAGACAATGCCGCCCGCACACATGTGGTTGGAACCGGGAACTGCGTACCAGCAGAATGCCAGACACAGGTTGCAATTACCTTTCCTCCCGGCGCCCTCAAGTCATTAACCCCGGGTTTCTCTAGCCCAGCCTTATGCTTCCTTTATGACCAAACTGAGACATACTGCAGCTGGTGGGCAGACACGTATGGTGGCTGTCCATACTCCTCATGCAAAATGCACCTGGCACTGGACTGGAACAAAGAACTCAGCATTAACAGACAGGGTCTTTTTGTAGGGGACGGTAAGGGAAACTTTAGAATCAACATCCCAGACCCATGGGATCCAAGGTGGGCATCTGGGGTAGAAGGGAAATTGTATTCTTGGCGATGCAGCGCTAAGCCCTCGGGGACGATTCATATTCACCGGGGGTACATTAGAATTGCCCCCAAAGGCCTCCAGGACTTACAAGAACCATCCCTCGTCATTTTAGAAAGTGAGCAGTCCTTAAATGACCACTTGCCACCTAAAGAATACCTGGGGGCCTCATTGTCCCCTGACCCCTTTACCTGGCTCAAAACAGTACAAGAAGCTGCCACCCTCCTTAACGTGCCGGGCTTTACTAATTTGTCTAAATGCTTTCTTTGTGCCCCATTGCAGCGACCTCTATTAGCCGCGGTGCCCCTAACACACTTTACACCCTCCAACTCGACTAAGGCGTGCCCCCCTCCTTTAAAGGAAATTCCCTTGTACCTTCCTCCCAACACCAGTGATAATGGGACCCACCCCATTTGTTACCATACAACATTCACAAGTTTTAGGTGCAATGCCACCCGAGGCATCACAGGTATTGTCAGGGCACCACCTGGCACATTCTTTTGGTGCAATGGGACCCTCTATAAGTGTATCAATGGTTCCTCTCCTGCCCCTTGTATTCCAGCTACTGTAGTCCCCCAGCTCATGCTGTATGGGCAAGCTGAGTTGGAAGACCTGGTATCCCTCTTCCCGGAACCACCTCGGCACGAAAAGAGAGCAGTCTTTTTGCCCGGGGTGTCCTTGGCCTCATCCTTCGTAGCTGCAGGCCTAGGGAGCGGTGCTTTGGGCCCTAGTGTTGTTACAGCGCAGGATTTTGAAGATCGCCTGCGCCTTGCAGTGGAGACCTCCTCGGCCTCCACAGCCTTGCTTCAACGACAGCTCACCTCAGGAGCGCATGTTGCCCTGCAGAACAGAAGAGCACGAGGCCTTCTTACAGCGGAAAAGGGTGGAGCCTGCCTATTTCTCCAAGAGGAGTGCTGCTACTACATCAATGAATCTGGTCTGGTTGAGCAAAATGTGCAAACCTTAAATAAATTAGGCGAGAACCTCTGGCGGTATAAACAAACCACATGAAACTGCCTTTGGTGGCAGCAGTCGCCACTAACGGCATCGGAACGCCCCTAGTGGGCCCTCTCGCTGTAATTTCTCTCTTATTTCTTTTAGTTCCCTGTTTCTTTAAATTTCTGCAAGGCCACCTTTGAGAGATGACCAATGTTGCAGCTAACCAGCTCTTGCTTCACCCGTACTTTCCACTGCCCAATGACCTACCTCTGCCTGACCAGGCCTATACCCCTCTTCGCCCCCTGCCAGCAGGAAGTAGCTAGACTGAATCCAGCACCCATATTATCACCAAAAGGCCAGAATGTAAGGCTGGCCACAGGTCAGGTCAAGGATGGTCGGTGGGTGAACACCCCCACCCTGCCTGAAAATGGAAACTTACCAAAGACAGTCTCCAGAGACAGACCAGGAACCATCTGTGGCTCAATGAATGGAACCCAGATGCTGTTGACTATCTCGGGACCTGCATGTGGCAATGGCCCAACCCCAGCCCAATGGGAAATTCCAGCCAGTTCAGTCTGCCTGAAAACCCCCATCTAAGTTTGCATATAAGCATCTCTCTTCCTAGCCTGTGTGCTACTTCACGGGCCCCACTCTCGGACCTGTGGATCTCTCCCGGGGGCGCAGAATAAACTCCTTCTTCTTCTCTCTTTCCTGGCCTCAGTTTATCTTTGCGGCGAGCCTAATGCTGCCCTTCCCCCCGCCGAAAGTAAGACATCCCCCGAAAATAAGACCTACTTACAGTTTTGCCTTTTGCTGAAATATAAGACATCCCCCTGAAATAAGACCTCCCTGAAAATAAGGCCCCCCAAAGCTACTGTAACTCTGGACTCTGGACCGTAGTGGCAGATGCTACCATGAAGCTCACTGTTGGCCGCAGCGCAGCCAGAGCAGACAGGAAGTGCGAGGTCTCTTTTAATAAAACAATAAACAATAAATGTGTACCATATTCTTCTTCATGGAAAAATAAGACATCCCCTGAAAATAAGACCTAGCGCATCTTTGGGAGCAAAATTTAATATAAGACACTGTCTTATTTTTGGGGAGACAGGGTAATGCTACAACCCTTCAATACAGTTCCTCAGGGTGTGGTGACTCCCCCCAACCATAAAATTATTTTTGTTGCTATTTCATCGCTGTAATTTTTCTACTGTTATGAACCGGGTGAGCCCTGTGAAAGGGTCGTTGGACCCCCAAAGGGATCGAGACCCATAGGTTGAGAGCTGCTGACTTAGTGTCTAGCCTGGGCAAGAAACCCACCTGGGTCAGGCTCTCTGCTGGCCCAAGGTCAGGCAGACTGGGAACTGCACAGGGAACTGAGGATTAAGGGGTGGCTTCCCTGTGAGCAAGGAGCCTTAGGCCTTATCATCACAGCTGCTGGGCTGCGCATGGGTGCCTCCAGCACTGCTTCCTCCCACCCACTCAGTAGCTCCCAGCCTGCCCCCAGCCCCCAGGGCCCCTTGTCCCTTTGGCACTGTACACAGTCCTGTGGGAGCTCCATGGCCAGGGCATTTGTGGCAGCTCGGACAAAGAGAGCTGGTTAGCATTTTTATCAGACAAAGCCCGAAGCCCTGAGAAGTGGTGGGAAGAAAGGCAAAGCACACTCAGGGAGGCAAAGAAGTCATTTGCCTCAGGCCCCTTCCGCCCCTCCCACCCCAGAGGCATATCAAGTTCTTCTCCACTCTCTTTCCTCTCTAGAGCTGCCTTTAAAAAACAAACGATATTCCGGTAAAACAGATTTTAAAAATGTGCCACTTTAGGCATTTTCCGTGCTGGACACTCAGTATATCGCAGAACCATGACCTCTGTCTGTTTCCAAGTGTTTTCCCGTTGCCCCCAACAAAGGACCTTTAAGCAGTAACTCCCCACTCCCACTTCTTCTGGTCCCTGATAGCTTGCCTCTCCGCCTCTGCCTGTTCTGGGGAGGATTAAACCGTATTTGCTCTTTTGTGTCTAAATGGTTTCAGTATAATCTTTTCAAGGTTGGGCCACGCCCGTAGTGTCTATCGGGAGCAATGTTTCATTCTGTGTCTGTCCCCTCACCCGTTGGTCTCCTGATGAATGTCTGGCCTCTTTCTCCCTTCGGCCTTTTTTCTTGGTGTTAGCTGGGAGGGTTGGGGGGTGGCTTACGGTGTTTTAGCTAATGGTGCAAGAAGGGAGAGATCGTAGTGGCAAAACAGACTGTAGGATGAATCCTTCAAGACAGACGGCTCTTCTGCCCAAGAATGAGAGAGTTGAAAACTTGTGTGGCGAGGGGACTGTAAAGGTGAGGGGACTGGCTGCTGAAATGGTAGGGTGGTACCAGGCAATGGATGGTAAATAGTCCACCTGACAGAGTAATGTCCCAAGAGATTTTGCATGGCAAGATGTGCTCTAAGGCAAACTACTGCAATGGGTGGGGTTAGTCTGACAGGGTATTTGTGATAGGAAGCCCACCCTCCCTGTTGGATTCCAAGAATCCCGCTCATCCTACCCAGGCGAATCCCAGTTCTCCCACCACCAGCAGCATTTCAGTCATGCTGAGCCAACACTAATTAAAAGCTCCCATCACCCACCCTGGGCTCTGCAAGGAGCAGGCCAGCAAGAGCCCTCTCCCAGCTGCGCTCCTCCCCTGTCTTTGCACACTTGCTTGTTGAGCTTGTGATTGGGCAAGCGGCCAGCACCCTGGGGGACGATGGGTGGGAAGTTTAGCTGAGACAGGCTGTGTATTTGCCTACAAAATCCTGCCAGGAATCAAGCTAGTGGAAAAATCACCCATTTCCGGTGGGCCGGGCTCCGGTGCATTCCTGCATGGGTGTTCCTGGGCAGGGGAGGTTGCTGTGGATATTAATCCTGGGAGCAGCCCACGGCTGTGGGTGATGGGGCTTTTCTGCGTCTATTCCAAAAAGTGAGTATGTGTTGTTATCATGTGGGGATCGCAATCGGTGCCATGAAACCAAAGGTGTATGGATCCGTGAGGTTTCTGAAGTGGGCTATACCTTGGTTCTGTGCTTCACACGCTGAAAGAATTCATGCCGAAGCCCGTTGTGTGATCCAAGTGGGTTTTTATGAAGGACAAGACAAGTTTCAGGTTTTATAGTCTCAAAAGGGTACATGCTATTCTGGCAGACATGCCCAGCAGCGTGGAACTGCACTGGGTTTCACAACTGGGCATGAATAACCTCGTGGAAAAGAGCACGGGATATTCGGAATGGGGAGGGGGGATGCCAGGAGGCCAGAAGCCCAAGAACCCTGGAGGCTAAGTGCATGTGGACCAAGAGGCTGTGGACCCCGAGTAGGCCTGGAGTGGGAGCATGTGCACCCACATGGGGGAGGGAGACTCTCCCCTCCACCTGCCTCCGACCAGGAGCAGGGAAAGAGAGCGAGGCCTTCCCACAGCCAGGACATTTCAGATCACTGGTTGGGGAGGCGTGGTTAACCCCATTGGCTGAGGTAGGCCCACCTGTGTGATGGCATGAGCCTGGGCCTAGTTTGGGAACCCAGGTGTACCTCCCCCCTGGCTGGGGCTTGCGTATAAGCATGCTCAGTTTGGGGTCTTCATAGGTGTTCAATGGTTGCCTGATGTCTTTCCAACCTCCTCTAGGGGGACTTTGCAGGCATGGGAGGGTCAAGCCCCCTGCCCTTAAATCTAGCTACCTAACAGATTGCGGAAGGGAAAAACCTCACACCCATCACAAACCAAAATCCAACAAGAGAAGTGGCTCTAAGGGGCAAGGGCCTGGGACCAGTGGGCCCCTGAGACCAAGAGCTCATTTAGGGTCATCGAAAGGCCGGGGAAGGGAGAGGGGGAAGCAGGCAGACAGGGGGGTGGCTCCCCACTCTCAGAGAGAAGAGCAGAGCCTTAACCCAGCAACGCCTGGCACAGTGCTGGGGTGGAAGCAGCTGTCCTGAACCCCCCTCTTGGAGCGTATTTTCTCCATGTGGGAGATGGTGGAAGGTGCCCCTGTGGCGAAGGTGTGCAGGGGAGGCTAGGGACCACTCCCCATGGTCATGACCACCAGCCAGATGGGCACACGTGGTTAGCACTAGGGAATATAACTGAGGTCCTCAGATGGCATGGGTCTGGAAGGCAGCGTGGTGTGTTCCCAGGACTCTGTCATGTCCCCTTTGAAAGTGCCCTGGCTGCCCCACAGCCCTGCCCCTCATGGAGTTAGCTCTGGGCAGCGGGGTACACTCAGGCCCTTCACCAAACTCCCAGTCCAGCAGGGAGAGGGCTAATTAGTGTCGCTTTACAGCGTGGGAAGTGCCAGCACAGGACAGTGTCTGCACAGAGCATCTCCTGTCCCCCAGTGCCACTCCTTTGCCCCTGCCTGTCCTTGGCCTGGAAACCTTCCCTCCCCAAGCTGGTTCTCAGACCAAGTTCTCCAGGGGCCTCCAGTGGACCCTGGACACTCAGCCTCCCCGCTGGCAGGCTGCAGACAGATACTGGGCGGAGCTGTTCCTCCAGGCTAATGGGGCCTAAGAATGAGGCAGTGGGTCCAATCTTCAGGTCAATTCCAACCCACAGCCACCTCCTCGGGTGCTAGAGCAGACGTGCACTCCGCTGGGCTTTTGTCCATGGCTGCTATGTCAGAAGCAGGGCTCCTGTCCTTACTTCCAAGACACCCCTGGGTAGATCGAACGGTGAACCTTGGGGTGAGCAGCTCAGTCTGCGCACCATTTGTACCACCCAGCCACTCCGGGTACCAGGTTACAAGTCTGGAATACAGCTGTTTGTCTTCAACATAAGGAACTACCATTTATTCTCAGAGGATGTCTTTTCTGCTTGTTGGGCTGCGAAAAGCGTTCTTTGATGGTGGGACCTGGTGATGGAGTTGATAATGTGTCAGTTTGTTTATTTATTTTTTTCAGTTCTTTTTTTTTTTAATCTATTAATTCGTAAAGTGTTTGTTTTTATTTTTTTAAAATCATTTTATTAGGGGCTCATATAACTCATCACAATCCATACAGACATCAATTGTGTAAAGCACATTCAAACATTCATGCCCTCATCATTCTCAAAACATTTGCTCTCCACTTAAGCCCCTGGCATCAGCTCTTCATTGTTCCCCTCCCTCCCTGCTGCCCTGTCCCTCATGAACCCTTAATAATTTATAAATTATTATTTTGTCATATCTTGCGCTGTCCGACGTCTCCCTTCACCCACTTTTCTGTTATCCGTCCCCCAGGGAGGAGGTTATATGTAAAGTTTGTTTATTTTCACGAGACGTCCTCTGGTTACTTTGCTCGGCGGTAAGAGCTCCAAGGCTGGGCACTGCTGTCCACCAAGGTGCCACCACGTCTGAAAGCCAAGCAGGGGCCCCTGCAGTGTTTTTCTCCGTTTCTGATTTCCAAGTGTGCAGCACAATGGCAGAGCTGATATATTCAAATTCTGCTCACTTCCCCAGGACCGCGGGCTGGCGGGGCCAGCCAAATCCTTAAATAGAAACTACTGTTTTCTTGGCATTCCAGGCTCCTGTATGTTTAATGCCTCAAGTATCCGCTTTATGGGCCAAACTCATGAAACTCTAGGAGGATGATCCATCACAGAGACCAGTGGCCATGGAAACAAAAGCCGTCCATGCTCGCCGCCATCAGGCTGTTTAATTTTTCATTGCTCTTTCACGAGAAAAGTAGATCGTCCGAGTCGTGTGAACGTAGGTCACCAGCGTC